TGAGTAGCAACATGTACAATTTTTAAGATTAAATAAATAAATATATATATATATATATATATATATATATATATATATATATATATATATATATATATATATATATATATATATATATATATATATAAGTTAATCACCAACACATATTTTTAACGTTTCGACTTTATTGTTTTCATCAAAGTAAAATCGTTTATTCAAACCCCTAATTTTATACCCTACCAGATGAGCATAATTATTCATACACCTCACAATCCTGTTCAATGTTCAACCCTGAGGGGTACATTGTCATAAGTCTATTAATCCAATACGTTTCCCAAATTGTTGGTTCTGCTGGATTGGTTTTGTCAATTATGACTATATGACAATCATTCATTAAGCCATTATGTTTTTCGCCAAAGAAATGTGAGGAAACAAGACTTTGTTGAGCCGCTAGCTCTGGGGCTATTAAAATAAGGTCTTCTGCGCAGGGCTTCTGCGCTTATTGCTCTTTCTTCTGAGAGCAGTGTATAAGCGCAGAAGCCCTGGGTATGAGGTTGATATCATTTATTGGATTTATCTGGCTTAGGCCAACTTCGAGGACACTGGAAACCAGGCTTAAACAAATTTATTGCAACTCCACATTTTGACCCTTCAACTGATTTTCTCAAAAAATTTAATGCCACCCCCCCCCTTCTAGTAAATTATTTATACTCATGGGGTCATGGCCCCACCTTTTGCCTCCCCCTCCCTCTCCATAAATAAGGACTGGTCCCTAACTGCAGGAAAAATATGTGCACTTCACAGAACATTTATAACAATTCAAAATTTATTACTTTTGCCTCAGGCTGGGTAACCACAACAGAAGTTGCCAAATAGGCCCTTTGAAGGTAGCTTGCGTGTCAGGCTCGATGCTTGAAATAGAGCCTGTTATACCCTGTGAGCAAAGTCCTCTCGTATTTCTTCTCGGCACGGCACGGAGAAGCGAGAGAGACTCTGCAGAACTTGTGTATAAATTCATTTGAGCATGCGCGAAGGTTGCTAAGCAACTGCCTATTTCCCAGAAGAAGATTTAATAAGTAGTTTCCGGTTCGGATCAAAACCGGTTATAAAACTGGTATCAAACCTGAAATTACTCATAATTATCCAAGTTTTTGGATTGTCGGCTCCACAAAGAATATACACAAGTTCTGCAGAGTCTCTCTCGTGCTGAGAAGAAATACGAGAGGACTTTGCTCGCAGGGTAAGCCTGTTACTGAAGTCAATAAAAAGTGGACAGTGATTGGGATGCACAAAAATAACAACCAATCAAAATGGCGATTGTTAATTACGTATCAGTCAATTCCAGCAGTGCCCATCCCCCCGAGGTATTAGCCATTTCTGGGAAGAAAATGGCTATGTCCACAAGCCATTTGCAATCAAATTAAATATCAGTTTTCCAGCAAATCTACGAAATCCCCCATGATGGAAAATGTCAAAATCCTCACCCCAGGGCTAAAAAATATCGGCAATAGCCCCACCCCCGTGATTAGGAAAAGCTGCAAAGGCCCAGGGGTGGGAACTGCTGGAATTAATTGATACATTAGATTATCAAAGCTAATTTAAAATATGACAATAATGGCCAACTTTTCCACCAATATCTCAAAACTAAATATTCCAATTTTCATCAAATGGCCAGGAATTACATATTAAATAATAATAATAACTGTTATTGACTGCAGCAAAGGCAGTCATTAACATGGCCAAAAGTAGTTAAAGTACAATTACAAGTACGGAATATCATTACGTAAACAACAATTTGGCATTACCTTAAAAACAAAGCTATTTATTTCTGACCAATGGGAATTTTGCGTACAAATCATGTGCATCAATCCTTTTTACTGACCTCAGTAGCAGGCTTTATTTCAAGCATAGAGCTTGACACGCTAGTTACTTTTAATAACCCATTGAGTTGCATTGCCCCCCCCCCCCTACTTAATTTCAATACATTGATCTCACCATTGTGTTTATACAACCTTGCAAATTTACTAGTAGGAATTTCCATTGTGTTTGCAGCCCTTACACTTTGTGTTTCATTATGGCATCTTGACCTTGAAAGAGTCTATTACTGTGGCTCCAACATTTTCCCGTTCGGCGTTAGAAACACAATACATTGATCATAAAATGACTGAAATATTACAGATTTAAAAGCCTGACACCTAGCGGCAAAGTTTAAATTTCACACAAGTAGTGATGAATGGTGATCACTGTGGTTGTATTTCGGTCTTGTTAGGCTACACCATGTTCTTTTGACCACCTATCCGTAACAGGATTATTTGCATCAACCGCCGTAAAAAAAGCACCCAAATAAACAGCAGTCTGCGAATATTATTGTTGCGATTTACAAAGGTTGCGGCTCGTTCCAACTTTGTAAAATTGAAAATTGTGAAGTTTTGTCCTCTATTTCAAGCTTATAGCCTTCCAAGTTTACTCACATAAAATGACTTTCGCTTTATAAAGTCTGTTTCATCGGAAAACTTTTAAGGTTCATCGGAAAAATAAAAAAAATATGTACAAAATCGATGATACCATTCGCTCGTAGTAAGCGGCCATCTTGAATTCAGCGACGAATAGTAATGACGTAATTTTTATTTTTTATTAATGACGTAATTGTCATTTTGTGGCTAACGATCCAAGATCCGACACAAATGCGTGCCGAAACCTAGAGTCGCTGCAGGCTCTGCCCAGCGACTAATTATATATACGCAAGCTTTCGCATGGTAGGGATGCAGCTACCTGAATAATAAAGGATAATTTCGACGTCTCGAGCGAAGGCCCTCGTCTGGAGTTACTGAATTAGGCCAATGGAACTGTAGATTCTGTTTACCGTCCACCGCCCGCATGTGCTTGCAGCTACCGCAAGAATTTTTCATTATTCTTAATTATTTTCATTATTTGTCATTATTTTTAATTCTACGCATCGAAACTTTCAAATATACAACAAATCATCAAATCTTCGATATAAGAAGCCGTACATCGCCGATGTATGATGGATCAGTCGGCATTTGTTCGGTACACTCCGAAATTTGCGAGTCTGACATGTGCAAATTCGAAAACAATGGCGTGACAAAGAAATTCTCAGCAAAGGAAAGCCCAAAAATGATAAAAGAATGCTGGACAAAAGTGTTGATGGTCGAGATCAAAAGAAAACGATTTAAGGAAAATATATAATAATAAAAATAATGAAAAATGAATAATGAAAAAAAACCGCATCAGATTTCTTAAATTCTCGGACGGTAAACAGAATCTACAGTTCCATTGGCCTTACATATACATATATGCGCTGTGATTTTCAGTGGGGACCTTGAAACGCGTTATATAAATAGGGTGTTGTTGATGGAAAGTTATGAGTGGAAATAGATATACAAATTATTATAGACCTAACCAGGAACAGCTAAGTCCCTGGCAGGAATTGAACGTGCGGTCTATAAATAAACTATTTTACGAGAAAAAAGATCAATGAAGTATTGTTCAACTTCATGGATGCTTCATGGTGTCCGGTATCCAGTTTCAATTTTCGGCTGACAGGTACCCTGGGAGCCAGAGGGTATTGTTTTCGTCGCCAAACCTAAAAAACCTCTGGGCCAGGGTAGCTGACAGGCGGAACTTTGACGGAAATCACTCGAGCGAGACGTTCAAGTACTGATTCTTATATTGTTCAGTTTGATCCGGTAATCTCTGGGGAGGACCCCCCCTTCGTATAACCATCAGTAACTCTAACATTGAGCAGCGGTAAAACTAAACTTCTAGAAATATTATGTTCCTTATTTTAGTTTTTTACTATAGTCCTCTACAAGAGAAGCAACTGAAGCGAAAATGTCATTTACTGAGTGAAAACAATGAAAATAATGAGATGAAGAAAGTGAAGAAGAACTATAAACGTAAGATGCGAAAATCATGGCTGCAGCTTACCAGTTTTGTGTTTTCCATTTTTTATAAGTACAATCTCGACAAATGCACATCAGATCATACACAAAAATCGCTCTACCTGGCAATTGTGCGTCCTGCATTAGGCTACGCCACCCAAATCTGGTCACCGCAGTCAATTGAACTAGTTAGAAAGACAGAGGGCGTTCAAAGCCGAGCTTCAAAATGTATCCTTAAGCTGCCCTTCACGTGTACAGAATCCTACAACTATGAGGACTGACTGATGTCTATAAATCTGTTACCAGTCCCTTATTGACATGAGTATCTTGACTTGATGTTCTTTTTTAAGGCCATAAATGGTATTATACTGTTCCGAAGAAAATCTTTCCGAAACGATCTATTCCCTCAAGGCCTACTCGGTCATCTTCAAATAAGAGGGGGACATTGGGATTTGCGGTATGGCGGTATTAGCTTATTTTTCTTACGGTATTTCGGTATTTTCGTTGAAAAATTGCGGTATTACGATATTGGAAATCTTGCGGTACACGATATTTGCAATTTTGGACTCAAAAACTGCGGTAATTGACAAAATTTGCTTGCGATATTACGGTATTGAATACCCCACAATGCCCCCTCAAATAACAGTGTTATCTCGTACCGTCCTCGTAGATGTAAGACAGCCACCTAGCAACGGTCATTTTTTATTAGAGCAACTAGAACCTGGAACTCCTTACCCGAACACTTAATTAAGACTAGATCATTTATCTCTAACGTTAGCCTATATAAAAAGTCACTATTAGAATACTACCATAATGCCCTTGTATCTTGTTATGACGCGTGGATGATGCTCGAACCTGGAAAATTGTTTGCCTGAAGTGCAACACATCGCGCAATCTAATCAATGCTGATCCCTGTTGCTACAAGACTAATTAGTTGATTTTTTTCGTCTGTAATTTGTCACTAATTTTAACTAAAGGGCCCACAGTAATTGGTGTAAAGTGTTGTGGTGTCGCCACCTCTTGTTCTGTCTCATGTATATGAATTGTTGTACTTGTTTTGTGTACGTTTTTTGTCAAGGCGAAGCTAAATAAATAAATAAAACTAAATACTGTCTTTTAATAAAACATAAATTAAATAATAGATACTCCGAAAATTGTAAACATTTTCATTCTTGATAAATACTGTCTTTTACACGAAATTCGCGCGTTGTTCATCGATGTCTGTATGTGTTTGATCAAATCCGCAGACGTAAATGGAGCTATATCCGTCAATAGGAACCATCGTTTCTTAATTTCCGCTCTCTAATATAGAACCAACGACAGATATAGTTGCTTGCAGAGTCGCTAATCTGATTTAAAATAATAAAGCAAGTGATTGTATGCCGGTAAAAAAAATGACATGACGGAACGCGTTTTGAAGTGCCTTAACCAACAGGAGGGGATTGGACTACTTTGGTTTAAGTATAAATGAATGTACTGTCTGTACTCACTCAACAAATTCCACCCAGAACTGACATTTCCAAAGTCTATTACTGAGACGCAAATCGAATTTATTGTAAAAATCGATAGAGCATGCTAGTAATTTTCAATATATTGTAATTCATTAACTTTGCAGCCGAGCATGGAGAATCGTCGTCTTCAATAAAGACGATAAAATGGAGTGACTATAAAAGTGAGGAATGCCACAAACTTTTCACGTCGTCTCTTACTGAACCGTGAGTATTCTGCTTCTGTGCTAATATATTATCAGCTCTTTATGTCATTATTGTTGTGGTAATAACTTCTTGTGTATTTATTTTTAGAACAAATCCTTCAATTGTTGTAGCATGTGATAAAGGGTTAACATTTTCGCCGGCAGAAAGCGTTTTTATCTGTCAGAAAAAGAACCATTTTCAGGTACATAATATTTCCAGGAATCAGGCATTAGCGTCTTCCTTGAGTCAAAATTTTCCCATTATCACCCAATCTTGTCTTGTGTCTTCCTCCTGATCTTTCTCTCTTTATTTTTTGTCCAGGTTCTGGTGTATATTACTCGATCTCATCGTCAAATATCAAAATTTTGTCCCGTAATCTTCTCAATCCCATCATTCCATCTTTTGCTTTGTTTGTCATTTCCATCATCTTCCTTATTTTATTTTCCTCTGATTTTTTCCTCTTACAGATTCCTTCCAAAACCTCTTGGCTATTCCATCGTAATATAATGTTCAAAATATATCATTCTTGCCTCTCTTACTTTATTTCCAATGCTTTGAGTCCAGATGTTTCACCCTGGTAAGCCCTCTTTAGTTCCATCCAGAATCTCTTTTTCGCCACTGACTATTGTAGAAATATAGCTGAAAATGATTCTTTTCCTAGCCGTAAAATGCCAGAAAAAGAATCATTTTAAGCCATAAATCACTCGTTTATATATGTACGAACTTGTATTATTATGATTTAACGTCGGTCACTGGAAAAAAAAGTGAAATCCATACCACGAAATTTGTAATTGCACCCCTAAATCCATATAGTATATCCATACTATTTCCTTACTATATCTATACTATTGCAATTATTATGGATAACCAAAATCCATTCTATTTCTAATAAAGATCCATTCAATTTCCATACTATGATTTAATGATTTAATGAGATTCGGCTAATATAGCGCCAGGGAGTTCGCCACAGGTTCCCCAATTACGGCGACCCCATAATTAACTTTACGTTTACAATAATTTTAACAGTCGAAACGAACTAATTTAAGACAAAATACAATCGGTGCAAGAGACAACTAACAATAACTTAAAACACCATCAAAGGACCTAGCCCTTTTACATTTAACGCACACAGATTTCCAAGTTCGCGAATCGTCATAGTTATAAATATACTATGACCTTCTATGGAATTTCAAATTTTTTTTTCAGTAGGTACTCTAGTCGAGTTAAAATTATTTTTAATCAAATATCTTATGGAAATATTTTATGGAAATATTTATAAACCATCCTCTACACAATAGTCGATAGATGCAAATTACGCGTTTCATGATATTATTTGATATCATGCACTGTTTATTGTGAAGTTTTGAATTCATTCATCGTTTAGATTTCATTGAATCTGGAAATCACCTCCGACAGTCAAACGCTTGTACAAGTTGAGGTACTCTGTGTGTATTCTTTGTGTATGCTTAAATCTTGTGAATCACCAAATTACATCTTTCTTACCTAAATTTTACAGGATGTTTACCAAAGTGTCATTTCTTATAAAGTACATCTTTGTGTATTCTTTGTGTATACTTAAATCTTGTGAATCACCAAATTACACCTTTCTTACCTAAATTTTACAGGATGTTTACCAAAGTGTCATTTCTTATAAAGTACATCTTTATGCAATAAAGGTACGATTTAAAACTATACTACTATCAAAATGTTTAAGAACGAACTTTCTCTAAGCCTCATATACTACTATTATGCTCATATCTTTGAATAGATATCTTGGATAGATTTATTAATTGATATCTTGGATAGATTTATAAAATTAGATTATGAAATTATTATAAAAATATAACGCATATTAAAATGCTTTGAATGTTTCCAGGCTGAATCCCCTCATAAAAAAATCACTATGGAACAGTCGACTGCGGACAGATCAAAGCGACCTTATTCTCCAGTGAGGTAATTATTGAAAGAACAGTTATGTCAATTAGTGAGTTACCACACGCTTGCTTATTATAACTAGTTCATTTGTGCACAATTTAATAACGAGTCTTTTTTTTCAGTGATGCATGCATGATTAAACATTTGTATGCATGATTTAATACCTCGGCTACTATGACTATGTATAGCAAAGGATAATTTGTGATCTAGTTTGCTCAAAAGTCAAAAACTCTAACTAATGACCCTCTTCAATATTCATTATTATGGCTGTAATATTGTGCGTGTTTTGACTGTTATCGAATCTGAAAAATGTTTTGTCTCTATATTCTATTTAATTAGTATTCGTCTAAGCCGACTCCAGACAATTAAGTATTATAGCATATTTTGACTATTATTAATTTAAAGCGTATTTTAAGTGAAGTTTTAACCTGCTGATTTGATAGTTTCAAAATTTCGTTCAAAAAGCCACATCCATAATTTTTTCTTTCATACTTTAATGCAATATATTAATGTTTTCAAAATTAATGTTTTCAAATTTGTTGATCCTATCTGAACTTATAATACTAGCAATGAAAATTTCGAATACAAACCCTTTTTATTCGGCTATATATTCGGGGATGAAAACCCATCGAAAATGTTCGGAACTTTATAATATTGTCTCATCGTTTTAGTAATTTTATTTCTTATCACAGATTTCCAGGCGAACCTTGTGGTACAAAAACATTGACAATTGGCCGGCTGCATTTCAGGTTAACACTTTAACAGATATCATACTCAAATCTCGTACCCAGAGTGTGTCCGTTCGCAGGTCATTGATATCATGCTATATAATTTGGGGGTCACTTGGAAAAGTCTACCAGCACTGTCACACCATAGGAGCGCGATGGGTGCAACCACACCCTCACCTCCCCGCTCTTCAGTCTTTAATAGTTTTTAAACGCTTTTCAATCATTGCTGATCGACTTTGTAGCAACAGCCGCGAAAGCTTTCGGTTAGTTAAGCATATTTTCATTGAATTACTGGTAAACTCACCACAATTTAAAAGATTGCCATTTTCAGGTAATTGTTGAAATTCAAGAACATCATTGCACCTTATCATTTTGTACGAAATCATTGTCTATAACTGAATGGGAAAAGTGATAAATTAACTAACTACTTTCTGCGGGAAATATTATGACAAAAATTTGAATTTTTATTCAGTGAAACAACATCAAATAATATGAGAAAGAAAGGAAAACTGAATCCTGATCAAAGGTAACAACATCATGCACAGCAATCGCGAGGGAGTATTTCATCACTAAGCGTGCAAAAAAACAGCAACATTCGTTTCTCGGACTGACTTACACAGAAGAGCTATAGTGCTGCATGTGATTGCAAGGACGCGCACTACCTATCAATGTCAGTATCAACCTCGTTCCCTGGCAGAGATGTGCCGCCTTAGTTAGAAGTAATATCAGATAAAAAGACGATTGAGTCCGTATATATAAATATTTATACATATAGGCTGTGTTAGTAATATAAGTATATAAAAGTTAATGCTTATAGTTATACACTATATCCTCTATATATAAAATTTATAAGATCCCAGCGTTTATGTACAAAAGATTCAACAGTATATTTTGCAAAAAATCATTCCGTTCTTGATTTTTCAGATATTTCCAGTTAGTTGTGGATGTACGTGCTTACACAAAACAAGGAAATTATTCCATCTGTTGTCAAATCTCTGAGAATGTGATCGTCAGAGTAAGTTGATTAAAATATCAGATGTGATGTCAGAATCACACTGTGGGGTTTATTAAGTCCAGATTTTATTTATTTATTTATTTATTTATTTATTTATTGAGAAAAAGAATTACATTGACGAAGATATAACTATGTGACACGAGAACGGAACAGGACTTTCGTCCCACTTGAAACTTAACCCCTTACAATATACGCCATCTACTATTTGTCTTTACTCAACAATATACATTATACTTTTGTATACATTTTATAAGCGTGGACTTAACCTGCTTTACATTTTAGGCTTCTAACCCTGGACAGTTTGAAAATGATGTTGCACTCTGGTCAAAAGATAAAAGTGGCGAATGTGTTTATAGAATGGTAACAATTATTCAGTAATTAGCCAACGGTTTATTTTGCTGGCATGGTGACAATGGACTCAGTAGACTGGTAACGCATACCTATTAACTATGCGCATACATTACATACACACTTTGTTTAGCGACGCTAGCCCCGACAACTACAAAAGTTGATTTCCACGGGGGGCATCCATATAAAAAATATTACAAAGAATATAAAAAGGAAGGAAACTGAGTCTACTACTATATCATGTACATTACCAAAAGCTACTGTAATCCACGATGGTGTGTCCCAGATAAAGATATGATTAACTAATCCACACTTCGTTATTAACATCAATAATTTTGTTTTATACAACTTTTAAATATATAAATTGATCGAGCTTGCTTAGCTTCAAGCGGAAGGTTATTCCAAAGATAAGCACCGCTGTATTTACAGTAAAGCTTTTTTTGAGAAATTCTCTGTTTGGCTTTGGAAAGGTCAGATCAGTTTGAGAATTTCTAAGATTATAATTGTTTAGTTTTATATTTCTACTTATGAATGAATCTTTCAGCATGTTCGTCAGTTTCAGAAGAGCAACGTTATTCAGCCTTCGCTAATGATATTGGCAGTGAGATCGAAACTTTAGCGGATGGACTTTGCTCAGAACTGTTTATGCTTCAATTCTCATATGCGCATGTCATGTTTCTAGGGATATGTTGGTATTAACACTGATAAACCAGACCAATGTTTATCTGTGAATGGAAATATAAAACTCACTGGACAGACCATGACTCCTTCCGATATCAGACTTACAGAACACCTTCATCAGGTATAGTTGGCAAAAGCCGTCATTTTTTATCATTATTTCGAACATTATATGAAAATCATACAGTAATCTCATGAAACATTCACGGAAAATAATCCAGCCCGCCAACATACTAAATACTTGAATTGAATATATATCCATCGCAAACTTTATCCACACGCAGTGACAAAGTCCACATGCACACACACTGGTTCTATAATCAAGGAACTGTAATCTGGACTGTATCTATCAACGCTATTTTTTAAATTTCTCGTTGTTTCAGTTTGCGTGACAAAAACGCAATAAACAATCTATAACAATTCTTTTCGATCCCTAACAGTTTATATAATAGTACTACAACAATGTCAATACTCGGAAAGAGGCAACTATGGTGGCTTCCTTCGACTGTATAATTATAAACAATAAACAATGGTATTTTGTAGGCAAATACTCGCGAAAACCTGGAGAACGTGAGTAACATGAAACTGTACAGATATCGTTATAACCAAGCATATTCCTGTCACGCTGGACTGGAACAATCAAGAGAAGATCTTGGAGTTTTAGGAAGTGAAGTAAAAACATTCATACCTGATGCTGTTACTGAGAGCGTAAGTCAAACAAAATGACAATTTATAAAGAGACCTAATCAGGCTTCAACAGGTGGAAATATACTCATTCTGTGAGTTATAACTCATGAAAGCATATTACTGTAAATAACAATCAATACAAAATATTGCTTGTGTACTCACTGCATTTGGGCCACATGGTGGATAGTTCAAGTATATTCCAGTCCAATCTTTCTCTTTAGCTAGAATCAGAAACGAGAAAAATTATGAAAACCATGTACTTAAAGAACGAATAGTAAAACAAGATATATTCGTCAATTTTTGTTAGAACTAGGAAAGTTCATTTTCAAATCATTTTTACCACGTGTTTAGGCAGACATTGTATTAGACGGGAAAATGGTAAAAGATGTTTTGATGGTTAAAAAGGTATTAAGAAATGCAGGATAATTATATTTTGAAGTTTTATTGAAATTTTTGTTGAACGTTTTTGTTTCATATTTTATTTCTTGCGTCGAAAGAATAATTATGTATTTCAGTTTTAAAACAGCAAGTTCATTTACTCTTTATTGGACAATAATTGAAGTCTATCTTATTTTTCTTCAAAGGACAGACTGCTCATGGAGTCATTAGGAGCAATTCAAGAGCTGTCTAAGATGACTGTAAATATTAAACATTTCTCATTTAAAAATTATTCAACTTATATATAACTATAGTCAATGTATATATTCAGACATGCAAAAAATTGCGCTTATTTCAGTTATTATATCTTATAGAAAATTTTAACCTCTCGTATGATTGAATTGGAGACAAAGAACGAAATTCTCGAAGTAGTTTTAAGGAACATGGTTTCAGAATCAATGAATATGTCCATTCCGAATTGAAGGTATGATAGTCTTCACATAATAATAATAATAATAACTTTATTCATACAAAAAATACCATTACTGATATGTCGAATTACAAACAAATAAACCGATTACAGTATATGGAAAATGAGCTTAAGCAAATTCTCTCCTCATATGGGATATTGTTGTAGCGACCAACTTCAACTGGTAATCTGTGGGCTAAGATTCGGAGTTTCGTAACTGCTTGGCGATGTTTTATATTGTTAACTTCAAAAATATATTTTTCTGGGTCAAGACTTGTTTTAATTTTCTTAAAAGTTCTTAGTTTGCCCCGATTACCACCTTGTTGAATTTGTTCTTTCCAGTAGTTAATATAAAAGTTGTTTAATTCATGCTTTAAATAATGGCAAAAGTTTTTTAATTCATGCTTTAAATACTGTATAAAGTATTTTCATTACATAGTTCTAACAAATGTGTTGTTAAAGCTACTGGTTGTAAGTTCATGGCTATACAACATTTCTTTCTTCACCAACGAGTGTGTCATTAAATAACTGATCGTTAATACGCAACCAAAATTTAACCATCATGGTGTATATTTGGTCTTGGAGGATTAAAGGCGTTCTGCCTAACTCAGCATAGACAGCTAGATTCGTCGATTTCAAATGAACTCCCATGAGTCGTTTGCAGAATTTTAAATGTAATTTTTAAGTAGTATTCCGTATTTTGAACATTTTATTCTTAAATTGATCAAAGCGATCTATTTTACCAAGTAAATAGGGACCCCAAATTTCACAATTGTATAATAAAATTGGGGATATAACGGTAGAGAAAAGTTTCAAAAGTGTTTTAGTCGGTATATTTTCAATATTTGAGAAACTGTGGAATATAGAGTGGTAGGCTCGTAAGGCTTTATTGTATAAAACGTTTTGGGCTTGTTTAAAATTACCTGAATAGTGGAGGTTTATGATGCCAAGATATGAGTATTCATCAACATGCAAGACACCGCGCAAACGGCAGATAAATACAATATACTAAACAATAAACTGAGTAAATGAGAAATTGCTTTCGAGTTCATCCAGATTGTCTTTCAATTGTTTTAGTTTATGTCTAACATACGGAAACCATTTTCAAAGACTGTAAGTTTACAAAATTCATCTTGCATCAGCGTTGAAATAGCGTACGCGTGTGTTGCGTTGTGTTTATGCTTGAGATAGCGCGCGCTTGAGGTCACTTGCGATAAACCCCACGGCATATATATTGATAGGGATACAACCACCAGAAAAATACAAGAGCAACTTCGACATTTCGAGAAGTCCCTTTAAGAAAGTTAACATTCTTTTGCGGTAATCGTCAGTGATTCCGCATACTAGACTTGATGAGTTCAAAAGCAACTGCGCGAATATACCCCCCATACAAACCTCTAAATAAAATGGTCTTGTTTTATAGATGATTTCAACACGATACTCATTTGAACCCGAGACAGCTGAGACAGTCGATCCTTCCAAGCGAGGAATAAACGAACAATAGTCAGTGCCAAACCTATCATGTAATTAGAAACCACGGACTTAAATATAAAAAAAACTACCGAATCAATAACATATCGTGTTATATTAACATACGTTGCAACACATTGATAGTTTTGTTAGTTCAGTAACTTTACCTCAGTTCTGTATTTCCTTTCACTTTGAACATTGGCGTTTATCAAGCTACTGCGACAATATTGAATTCACACAACATAAATCCATGCGGTACCACAAAGCTGTTTGTACTCCGGTTCATCAGGTTTTAATGTCATGTGCCTGCCACCGCTATTCATCTGAACATACAAAATGGGCATAGTTCAAATGACGCGGAATATGCATACAAGGCTGTGTTTGGTGTTTTTCCTATCAATTCAACCCGTCCAAAGTATAGTTTAGACGGGTTGAAGCACGGGTATTCTATACAACAAGCGTTTGAAAGAAAAATAATTTTCTGGAACATTCTAGTATAACAGGCCATCGTCAAAATTTCTTCATGAAACACGCAAACTTTGATCCTAAAATAGTTTGTTGGTTCTTTGGGAGCAATTTTGACGTCAATGTTTATATTGTTATAAATTATTTGTAATTAGACAGCATTTTTTATGACCTTTTCATGTCAGTAGCGTTTCTTACATTAAGATTCTGCTTTCCGTTAGACTGTATATTGCATGCCCTCTCACTTTTCGGAATAACTTCTACATATATGCTGAATATGTTCAATTCACATACTAACTTCGTCACTGAGCAAGGTAACTGTTTCTTCGTTCGTCTAGTTCTGTACCGGTTCCTGTATACACTTAGCTAACAGTTAAAACGGAAAACGTTTATTAATAATTACGTATACGGACATACAGTACCTATCACTCTGCCAACATAAGCTGAAACGACAAAATCTTTGATTTCCGTCCCATGCAGGCTTGTCTCTTGAGTTTATTCTTCACAGTTAAACGGAGATATCGTTATGAGTCTCTTTCCCCGATTAAAGTTTGCATTGAGTAGTTATGCATGACCATTGACCACTGACCGTACCTATCACGAGGCAGTACGAGGCGATTAATTTGCATCTTGACTCTTGAGTATTTTAAGTTCACTGATGAATATTATCTATTGTTTGCACTCAACTCTGTTTGATATTGGTGAGGAAACTCTTTGTTCTGTCGCGGAATTTATGCAACAGATGTTTGCGTGCACGATATTTTAGTTGTTTGTAACCTAGGCAATAGTATAGTTTCCTGTGCAATCAGTTGGGTAAAACATGCACGAATGAGTTTTTCAAAGACGATCAAAATTGAACGAGTCCGAAGGACGAGTACAATTTGAAGTGTTTGAAAAACTCACGAGTGTATGTTTTTCCACAGGTTTTTGCAAATTGCAAGAGAAACCATACTATTGATTAATAATATACATGAAAAAATACGTGCGTTAATTAGGTCACAAGCGAAAAATTAATAGTTAATTTTAATATAAATAATCGTAATAGAAATGGATGTATCTTATAGTCAATGAAATTTGTATTTCATTTTTTGGCAAAACATTTGCATTGCTCTAAGCCAATCAGAATTGAGAAATGTTTGCATGGATATTATTAATGCCAAAAACACTATTGCAAACGGCGTACGTAGATAATCGGCTGGAAGGTGCTCCTTTTCAACACAGACCAGCTTGATCAGCTCATCAGCAGGCACTAGCACGGAAACTTTTGATTGCGTGCGGCAACGTAGCCTGAGTGTCAGACGAATAACGAATAATTCGTTATTCGTCTGACACTCAGGCTAGCGGCAACGCTAATTCAGCCTAATATTACAAAAGAGATGTTAATTGTTGAAATAAATAGAAATAAAATACCAATATATCTGATCCAGTGATAGACTGGAAAGTTTGGAAATTACGCGTCCGAGATTACGATAATAGTAAATACATTGGGACATCAAAAATGTGCACCCCGGATCTCGGCTGCGCGTTTCAAACTTTCCAGACTGGATTCCAGTCCTTTGATTTTAGAAGCAGCGCGTTTCCCTGATCTCGGCGTGACTTTTGCGCAAATATGAAATATTATCAGTTGTGGCATAATGAAGCTTTCATCCGATGATCACCTCGAATTGCCGACTGGGCGACACAAAATTTCAAACGATTTGTATTATTAGTGATTAATAAGAAACAATTGTACATAAGTTTGTTATAAGGAGCCGTATATTAACGGACAATCTCGGTTATAGTTTCCAGTAGCTCGCATTGAGAAAACCCTTGCGTGTCAAACGACTATTAAATACGCTCAACAAGGTCAAGGTTTATCAACATTAGTTTGTAGTGATAAAAAACCTGGCGTTTTGCCCCCAAAAGATATATTGTTTTTGGCCAATGCAAACATTCAAGGTCATCAAGGAACTTAAACCTGTAAATCGTCAACAATCTTCGAATATTGACGGCAGGTCGTACATTTAACGAGTCTTTGCCGGTTTTTGGCCTGTTTCACCTGTTCGACTTGATTTTCGGAAACTTTCGTTCATGCCTCAGTGAGTCAGTAGTCTTGAGGTAGCCTGCGCGCGGTCAGATAGTTAGTAAAACGAGACTCTACTTCTAGCATTAACTTGCTCGGGTTATATGAGAAAAGCTTTTTTATATAAGCTAGATTGTAGATAACCGCGCACTTTGATCAGTCTTGACATACACTGCAAAAAACGGCCAGCCTGTAACAATGTTGTTGAAAACAGGTCTGAACAATATTTTGCTGCCCATATTATTTTTGATTGTTAACGATATTGTTGCATTGTTACTAGAAGGGCCTGGAAAGGACTTTGGAAAGTCTACATTGTTACAGGCTCGGCGTTTTTTGCTTTGTATGCTATTTCTTGGCTATGGCTCGTGTGCGAGTCGATTATCGCAAACTAAAAAACGACTTTTCAGTTTGCGCTTTAAGAATACGACCTGTGTTTAGTATACTCTAAATATAAGCTTGATTTGTAAATCACCGAACTAGGTTCGTCAAGAAAAGCCCGTGTCTTCACTTGGGGCAAAAATCAACTCTACTAAAGGCTAAGCTTTATTAGTCTTACTATACAAAGTTGTTTTTATCGATAAATCACTGCTGTATACAGTGATAGAATGACTTTTTCATGAGAATTAAAAAATAGTTTCTTTTTAGCTTTCAATTTATTCAGGAAATCCCTGAGAAAAATTATAAAATGAAATGTAAAATTATTGGCATTTCCCATTGCTCAAAATATAGTTTCAGTACACTTTTCACTTTCATAATTACAGTAACACTAGTTTCGAAAACATAATACGTACAGCATCAGGACACCATACAACACAATAAAAACATATCAAAAGAAAAAACTACCGTACAAATTGAGATATCCACGGCAAAGTTCTTGCCAATAGTCACTAGTCAGGATAGTTTTTACTTTTTAAATAAGTTTTAAATTGTCCGTGAATATGTTTGACACAGTAATATAATAAAGAAATCCTACCTTTCAAGTTAAACACAAATTCTTGCACTTCTTTTGTTTTCTGGGGATGATTTTTTACGGCGAAAGCTCGTTTGTTCAATTGTTCTGCAAAATAAAAAATTTAATTCAAAATATTTTGATTTTCCCGCCACAAAATTTCATATTACCGGAATACTTTCCCCAGTTGCAAACCTCGTATGAACAGGATCTTTTCTCCGGGAACGGAAGCCCGCTATAATTGCGAATGATAAACACTGACGTTGTTTGCCAACGGAAAATAAAAATGACGCTAAAATTCTTTGCGTTTTTTTATAAAAGCTGGATAAAAGACATTTAGATGTGTCATTTAAACTAAAGGAGATAAAAAACATTTAATTTCTGCCCAGAATTCAGTAATGTTTAAAGGCGAATACCAGGTATTATAATCACTTATATTTTGTTTGATAGCTCAGTTCTAAACGTTACAAATTCTGCGTTATTTTATTTGTATTATAAAATTTCATGGGGACTATTGTTTTATAGTGGTTTATATAGAGATGAATATTTGATTCGGTAAATTATTGTTTATGTTGGACATAGATCGGTGCATTGTTTGAAAAGTATTGCGTTGCTAGGCATTTTGTAATGTAGGTTGCGTTGTCTACACTGCATGACAGGCTGTTTAATATGCATTTTTTTAATCAATATTAACCCACGCGTCGATCAAATGTATTTTTTTGGACATTAAAATTACGAGAACCTTATGCCTGTACTTAACCCTCATCGGTTCGATGACTGTCACGATACAGATCCCAGTCGCACATTTGAACCTAAATACAGTTGGTGCCTAAACCACTCAACTACCAACAAAAAATATCACAAAATAATTTATATGATATGCGGCACACATATCAAACTGGTTGTTGTGATGCATATTTCCATGTATCTTTCTGGTATTGATCGTTCTCGGCATTTCATGGTTAAATTCGGGGAGCATGATGCCCTCATTGAAATCACAATTTAATTGTTACATTTAGGGCGGACCATTTGTTGATGTGTTCAGTGCACAAGGACGGGAACCGCTTTCAAAGAAATGTAAAGTAACTGGTAGTTCGACCAACATACACAAAGAATACGACAAAGATGTCAAAAGCTATGTTTATGTTTTGGAAGGTGAACCAACCACTACAAAAATACAGTTTCCCAAAGAAGACAAACATGGATTATTCTTAACTCAAAAATTTCTGGTATTCCAGTTGTTTCTCCCGACAGGCCGCCCATTTTCTTTTGAAATTGCAGTCACCGACCATGGCCAAAACAAACGGCGAATATTCTTCTCTTCAAACCTCAAAGACATATCAGTAACTCCCTTACATGCAAAATTTCCTTTGACAACATTGAACCTTGGTTCATGGCTTAATATGTGTTTGGACCTTGAGTCACTAGTCAGTGATACGTTTAATGGTCCAAAATTCCGTGCGGTTGAAAGTTTCACAGTAACTGCAAACTGTCGACTGAAGAAAGTGTTCACATTAAGAGCGCCACCTGTAGATACATCACAAGATCAAAATCGTGT